ACAGACTTCTTGACAAGAATGCGTGTTGGCGCTGGACCAAAGTCCATGAGGCCAGTTTCAATGAGGTTAAAGCCTTGCTTACATCCAATGCGGTGTTGGCTCATTTTAATGAGCAGTTGCCAGTGTGTCTGGCTTGTGATGCCTCACCCTACGGTGTGGGCGCTGTTCTTAGCCATTTGACGGCTGATGGGACTCAGGTTCCTGTGGCTTACTACTCTAGGACTTTATCTGCTGCTGAGCGCAACTATGCTCAAATTGATAGGGAAGCTTTGGCTCTGGTGGCAGGCATTAAAAAGTTCCATGACTTTATGTGTGGCCGCCATTTTATGGTCTTCACTGACCACAAGCCTTTGTTGGGGCTATTCACTACCTCCAAACAAACTCCTCATATCCTGTCCCCTCGTATGCTGCGTTGGTCCGTCTTCCTGTCAGCTTATGACTATTCACTGGTCCATAAGCCTGGTAAGGAAATGGGTCATACAGATGCTTTAAGTAGGCTGCCATTACCTACTGTGGAGCCTGATCCCGCTCCTGCTGTGCACATATTGTCCATTCAGGAGTTGCCTGAATGTCCCCTCAATGCTAGGGATGTGGCTGCTGAAACTGCCACTGACCACATGCTCAAACGCGTGCTGTCATGGGTCCTGTCCGGGTGGCCTGACAGGTGCCCTGCGGAGAATTTTCAACGTTTTTGGGTCAAGAGGCACGAGTTGTCCACTTTCAATGGCTGCCTCCTCTGGGGATCGAGAGTTGTGATCCCGGCCTCCTTGAGGGCTAGAATCTTGATTTCATTACATGAGGGCCACCCTGGAATTGTCAGGATGAAGGCGCTTGCACGCAGCCATCTGTGGTGGCCTGGCATTGACTGGGCCATTGAGTCCCAAGTCCATGGGTGTCATGCCTGCCAACAGTCCAGGCCGGAAATGCCCCAGGCCCCTGTACACAGGTGGGAGGAAACACACACTCCATGGTCTAGAATACATGTAGATTACGCTGGGCCCTTTCAGGGTCAATTCTTCCTGGTTGTTGTTGATAGCCATTCCAAGTGGCTGGAGGTCGTGCCTGTGTCTTCTACCACAGCCGCCAAGACTATTCAAGTGTTGAGAAACATTTTTGCTGCACACGGGTTGCCAGATGTTCTGGTGTCAGATAACGGTCCTCAATTTACTTCTACTGAGTTTCAGGGCTTTCTTCGGACCAACATGATCCGCCACGCTGCTTCGGCTCCCTTCCATCCTTCCACCAACGGTCTGGCTGAACTGATGGTCTGCGTCGCCAAGGACGCCCTCAAGAAGCTGACTTACGGCAATTGGCATCACAGGTTGGCTGACTTTCTTCTGGCACATCGTACTACTCCGTGCACTGCCACGGGTAAGTGCCCGGCTGAACTCCGCTGGGGTCGTCGGCTCGTGACTAAATTGGACAGGCTGCATCCGGAACGTGTAGCTGCACAGGTGTCTCAGCCACACCCACCAAGGGTCCTACGTGAAGGTGATCCTGTCTGGGCCAGGAATTATGGGCCTGGCCACCTCTGGGTCCCTGCTGTGGTCTGCAAGGTCTCGGGGCCTCTGTCCTACGTGTTGTCCCTGGCAGACGGCCGCATTCTTCGCCGCCACATTGATCAACTACGTGTGAGACGGGACGCGCCTATGGTTCCTTCTCAGTCTCCTCTAGGGGGGGGAGGAATGGGGAATGCATTCTGGGAATCAAACTCAACAGCCAATGATGGCTGTGGGGAGTGAAACGTGTTCTCAACACCCAAGTTCCACAGGTGCTTCAAGTAGCAGTTCTTGGGAAAGGGGGTACACAGACACCCACACACCCACTCCAGCCTGGGAGTCCCACCGGTGGCAGACTAATTATCCACCCCTAACAAACAATACTCCAGACACGGAGAATACCTGGGAGCATACTCACAACTCACAACATGCAAGAGAGCAGGCAAAACAAAGGGGGAACACGTCCCTTGCTGACATGGCTCATAGAAGGATGTCCTCACACATCAGGGCTAACAGGGAGGCATCCCTAGACCCTATCACTACAGAAACGAGCCAGGGAAACCGCACTCCGTCAGGAAACACGGCAATGAGTTCAGAGGGGTTAGAAAACTCCATAGAGGGCAGGTCAACCAGGTTTAGCGATCAACAGGGCCCTGACTGCTCGAATACAGGAGACGGGCAGGAAAGTCAAACTGAAGTCACCAGTCATCCACAGGGCAACTCACCTAGTGCAAGAAGCAACGGGGAAAACAATATAGACTCCCCAGGTCCGAGAAGGTCGCTCAGGGTAAGAGGCCCTCCCAAATACCTAGCCGATTATGTAAGGTGAGCAGGTTAATAGCAATAACTGAACTAAAGGTCCAGGCTGGTTGACTGTAAGAAAACAAGGTTGGGGGCCACTGGGTCCGGTTCAAAGGAACAGTCCCACACCTTATGCACTGTGTGACATTAACTCATTATTAATTATATTACCATCACTTGGATGGCGTCCATGTGGGCGCAGTCTTATTTCATCTAGGGGGAAGGGGTGTTGTGTCCTGAGCCTGCAAAGGCAGGCTCGGGACGTTGCAAGAGTCCTGGGCATTTGCAGAAGCTGCCCGGGACCAGACTGAGTGGCGCCGGCCTTGCGCACATGCGCAAGGCAGGAAAAGATAGTATGGTGATTGGTTGAATTTGCCCGGGGATCTGAAGGTATAAATAGAGGCCTGCGTGCCTCTGCTCGGGTTGTTCGTAGAATGGAAGCAGAGAATAAAGACTTGTTAGAAATGCTTCGTCTCAAGCGCCATTATTCTCCGGACTTAACAGTTTTCTTTATATCTTGTAAAGGAAATGACTGCTATTAGTGGATAAGTGATCACAATAAAATGTACTGTATGTGAGATCAGTGCAACCAGAAAATTACATTCAAAGTTAAAGAACTAGGCAATTCTTTGGCTGATACAGACTTAAATCAAGGACATTAATCTTAAAGTTATGCAGCATACATTGTACAATAAATGCAATTTTGTGTGCAATTTTAACAAAACTTAGGGTTGCACTTGGCCTTAGAGTAGCGTGTCTTGTGCCACTTTCCAAAAAATACACAAAGACACAAATTGATTTTTTTTTATTTACATGCAGATGTTGGGGATTAAGCGTACATAGCTAATGGCTTTAGTCTATACAAATCCAGATTAGTTAATATAAAGCTAATGAACAAAGCATCCTTCAGCCCTTCTGATGATAGTAGGAAGTTTAGCTCTTGAAATACATACATGAGAGCCAAGTCAAGTCTACAGAACAGAATATCTACAGAATTTTCTAAGTACAAGTATGTTGATGTCACTCTAGTCAAAATCATAACCATGGCTTGCAACTTACAATTGGTTTGCTGGGCAGCTCTTCATGTAACATTATTGTTCCTTTTTATTTTGGAAGGAGAAACTATGTACATAGAAATTAGGCTATGCAAAGCAAGTTTTGTATTTATGCATATGACAGAAAATCCTATTTGATGAAGAACTAAAAGAGCAAATGTACAGCTTACCTAAACGATGACAAGTGAGATGCATGTTAACCAAGCAGATTTCTTCCTCTCTCCCTGTCCTACTGCCCATATCTGAAAGGTGTAAACACCAAGCAGGCAGAAAAAAAATTAAGTACATGACTAATACAACTGATTTAAATAAACATGGGAGATGGATGGTTTAAATATGGAAAAATTCTGAATCTAAAGAAAACTCTATTATTATTTAATGCAAGATCCAACATCAGAGATTTTTAAAAAAATAATTATACAAAATTATAAAATAAACAAACATATTAACAAAGATATATTAGTACTGGACTGCAGATAAAAATCCAATTTTAATTCATTTGTAATCAATCTTTCTGTAAAATTTGCTATTAACCACAATCCTAGTTTATCAGATAATAAAACTGAATAAAAACAAACATGGGAATTCCTCTAAATAATCGATGATAGACCATTTATCAGAATACAGAAGAATAAATTTAGGGCTAATCTGAGCAAACACTTTGTATTAAAACTCTTCATGTTACTTAATCTTTGTTTTTAATCACAAAACCAGCAACACTGAAAAAAATGGAGTATACTGTCAACAAGCTACAAAGGACATAAACTTCCATAAAAATCTATATATAATATAGGTTTACTGCAATTTTATCATATAAAATTGAGGTAGAGGGCTGCAGCTAACCTATACATTAAAATTTATACAATTTTGATCAATAAACCAAGTCAATATCAAATAATGTATATCAAGTACTCTAATTATTAGATAGATAATGATTTAAATGGCTATGGAAATATAATTTTATATTTCAGGTTTTTTAACCTGAAAGTGAAGGGTAGAAATTTTCTTATTGTTGTTGAAAAATTTCTTATCATATGCCTGAAATCATTTTTGAAGGCTCGGAAATCTTCCTGCAATGTAAGATACATTCAGGCTTCACCAGTGGGAGAAGAATTACTCAAAATTATACAATGTGTTTCTAATTTTAAGCAATTCTTTCATCAACCTCCAACTGGGGATCCTGCAATAATCCCCAGAATCTCACCTTATCTCTTAAATATAATCTTTACCCCTGTAGTCAGTTGCACTGGACTGAAGAGACATTTTCCATCATTAATATCTTTCTATTAATTTATTTTCAGATCTCATACAATTTTTTAAATATCAGAATTAAATTCTGAAGTAAACACTTATTATACACAACATAAAAGTATGATCTGAACATATGAAACTAGTATTTTACTGAAAGATTGTATCATAATTTTCCCTATGCAAAATTCTAATGGATATATGGAATTTTGTATATGGAATAATATAGCTATATTCTTATATTTACCAGTAGTGCAATGTAATTGTACTCCTTTTCCCATATGTAATTTAGAAACATAAGATGTCAACTTCTTTGCTTTCATTTGTGATGCTCTTTGGCTTTTTTATACACATTGCTACAGGATATGTATTGCAAAATTTATTATTTATTTATTTTCTAATATATATGCTAGTTCTGTGTAATTTTGTTTTCATTTATTTAGTACTTGGTGAAGCTATGCAAATTTTTTAAAAGCTTTTCCCAGTAATCTGCACATATGTTTATATACATAGCCACTTTCCTTTACTGGGAAAAAATGAAGCAAGTGAGTGAATATGCACAGGCATTCAAACACAGTTGGAACAGTTCAGAAAGCAGCTTTGTGACTGTGGAACAAGACATGGCTGCTTTAACAGTTCCAAAAAAGGAGCTTCCTATGTCTGCCTCTTTTGAAGCACTTATACAGTTTTACAATAGCAGGTGGATGCTATTGCAAGGACTGAGGGATCCTAACCTGAATCCTTGGACAAACACCAAAGCATGCAAAAGAAAGAGTGAGAGACAACATTTAACATAGCTACATAACAAATACTGAAGTTAATTGAAAAACATTAACAAATGAGAAAAGATGAAGATGAAATACTACAAAATGCCATCTGTGACTTTATGCATAAATGCTACCCATACATAATATTTCAAGTTGATCTGGTCAATACATTTAACTAGCTTTTTAAAATTGTCCTTGGTTTTATTGTCAATTTTTTCATAATAATTGTCTTCAAAATATATATGTATGTGTATGTGTGCATATATGAAAGGTCTCCAACCCCCAGTCTATGGACCAGCACCGGTCCATGGCATGCCAGCACCCGGTCCACACAAACAAGTGAAGCCCCTTCTGCGAGATGCAGGCAGCACATGAAACCCTGCTGCCCCCCGCCCCGCCGATCCGCAGAAAAACCTCTCTCCATGGAACCGGTCCCTGGTGCCCAAAATGTTGGGGGTCACTGCTCTAAAAGCAAAATGTATAACTACATTAAAACACTCAGAAGAATTTTTACATCATAAGAAAATGATGCACAATTATAGTTTGTTGTGTTGTTGCTGCATCCACACTCTGTATTGATCCTGTGTTATCCCAAAATAAGGATGAGCAGTTTCCCAATAACTGGAAACTGATAGCTTCAGGACTGAAAAGTTTGGTAGGTAAACCCACAGAACAAAATAGATTGGAACACTTAATATATATGAACATGACTTTCCCCCCATATTTCTGGAATAAATTAAGGGTTCTCCCTTTTTTTCTTTGCTCTAAATTTAATTTAATATGTTTAACAGCAGAAATTTTACATTTGATGATACAATTAAAGGGCCCTAATACAGTCATAATTTATTGTTCTTTACTATTCAACCATGATTGATTTTGCTGTTGATTCAAAGTCACACTTTTCATCACTGTGACTTTACTCCATCTACAATAGGTGGACCCTATGAACTACAGGGCAGCTATCACCAGTAAAATTCTCAAAATTCCAAATTTATCTTTTAATACTACAACACCATCCTTAAAATTCATCATTAAATTGTATCAACATAAATCAACAGCTGTATCAGCAAATCTTAGCAAAAATATATTATATCTTAAGGCCTTCATAAAAATGATTTCATAAACTTTTAAAAGATAATTTATCTATATCTTTCTAAAAACATGAAATTTTAATTCACATAAATTCCTGGCATGTGTTAGATAGGTTCAATTTAGTATTTTCTCATTTAATAGGAAAATTTCTATCTTATAAGCATTATTTTTATGGAGTTGATATTATACTCAAAGTATACATGTAACCAGCAACACAGATGAGAATTTCCTCTGACAAAAATTAACATAGAGAACACAAATTTGACTACTTTTATATTTTGATCATAATTTTTTGTTCCACATGGGATATCTCTTTATACTCTTTACATCTGGACATAAAATGTGCCTATGTAGATTGCAACTTGAAATATTTGATTCTCACTAAATAACCTAGAGTTACAATAAATCCCACTCTTGCAAATTATTCATCCTTGCTGAAGCCACTTTGTATCTTCTAATGCTGCCCTACTAAATGCTGAATAGACAAAAAGGTTAAATTACGATCTGAAGATTATTATCTTCCAAATATTTTTAAATGTCAGATGAATACACTAAAATTAAAAAGCAGCACTTTGCTTTTTTTCTCAAAAACTATATTAGTAATTTTCTTACCTCTTGTTGCGTCAGTATTCAGAAACACAGCACACCAAACCTGACATAAGACTACAGTGAAATTTTTGTACTACTTTTATATCTTTAATGTAAGTGCTGAATGCATTTTGATGCAACACTTCACTAAAAATTCAGGCTACAGTTAACACAAGTAGATTGTCTTCCTCAAGGCAATTATACCATATATGTCAGTGATGGCGAACCTTTCAGAGACCAAGTGCCCAAACACCGCCCCCCGGCCCCAGGCCCCGCCTCCCACCCTGCCTGCTCTGCCCCTGCCCACCCCCTGCCCCGCCCACCCGCAGGGCCACGCACCACCTCCATGGCCCACCACAGCAGATCACCCAGGCAGCCCTGCAGCACCATGGCAGCTACGCCCTCCGCCCACACCTCACAGCATCATCTGCATGCTATGGGGCGCAAGGGTGGAGTCTTGTCCCTGCTGCCTGGCTATGTCCTTGGCTGCGCTGCTCTGTGTGGGCCGCGCCTGGGAGTGACTCTCCTCCAGGGGAGCTGCTGGTAAGGAGGGGGCTGCGGGGGGAGGCGGGGCTGTGGGCGATGCCCACAGAGAGGCCTCCGAGTGCCGCTTCTGGCACGCGTGCCATAGGTTCGCTACCACTGATGTATGTAAAGAGCGTTTAAAGGCAAGAAATACCCAGCATCTGGTAGAGCATAGAAAGGAATCTATATATTTGCATCTGATTTAAAGTTTCACTGCTATTTCTTAAGTCACAACTGCTTTAGACAAACAGTCACACATCACATCAACATTGGTGATGTTATTTTCTTTGACTTAGCAAGTTGTCTAGAACATTTACATATTCTGATCTTTAAAATTATGAACTAATATGTAAACCTAGTAAACTGTGGCTTATTTACTTAACCATTGTTGAACAACCCATGGATGAGTGCAACTTAACCATGTGAAAATCCTGAGCTTTGTGGATTATATGTGTAGCACCAATATGTGCAGAGTGATTCTTCGACGTCTGACTAACACTGAGTAAGCAAGAGAAAACTACCTCTCATTTCACCTCACCACCATCCCATACTTAGCTATTTTTCTCCCACCACCCTGTCACCTGTTAGCCAAGCAGCTTGACAGATGGCTACACTGCTATAGTAAATCTGGTTCTGGAAGGGTGATTTGTGGCTGTTTCCTTGCTACAAGGTGAAGGTTGTTCAGAGGGGAATCTGCCATTCCCTTTCCTTAACTTGTCTCACAGTAGAGAAAAAAGACAGCACTACTCCCTGCTCATACAGGAATAGTGTATGGCAGGAAAAGGATCTGCCATCATGGCCACAAATGCTATGCAGGAGTACTTTTCTGCCAGTCCAAGGAATGGTGGCTAGCAATTTAATCTACCCATGAGAAAGAAGCTCTGGATTAAACTGAACTGCATACTGGGTTTTTTGGTTTTTGTTTTGTTTGTTTTAAGCTGCATTACATAAGGCACTAGAAATTATTATTTTTAATCCCAGAGAGAAATAATGTCATATTGTTTTAATTAGGTTGTTCTT